ATTGTCTGGTTCCCCCCAGAGATTACAGTTTTGTTTTTTTTTTTTTTAAAGATTTTATTTATTTATTTCACAGAGAGAGATCACAAGTAGGCAGAGAGGCAGGCAGAGAGAGAGATAGAGGAGGAAGCAGGTTCTCCGCTGAGCGGAGAGCCCGATGCGGGACTCGATCCCAGGTCCCTGAGATCATGACCCGAGCCAAAGGCAGAGGCCCAACCCACTGAGCCACCCAGGTGCCCCCAGAGATTACAGTTTTAATTTATTTTGTGTTTATTAAGAATCTGCACTGTGCTGGACCAGAGGATACAGACGTGAATAAGACAACTTTCCTTTCCTCATGGAGCTTTTATTCTGTTGGGAAGGAAGATTTCCACAGCCAAAGACTTCATTACACTTGTTTCACATGCTTGTGATAATTACTAAAAAAAATTTTAAATAAGGTATTACGAGAGTTTCCAAAAGGGGGCCTGCACACTCTGCAAGGTCATGAGTTATCTTGCTGCTCCAGTCCTGAACTGGGCAGACAGTTCTAGCTGCATATTTTCCCTTTCCTGTTCATTCTTGTCTTTACCTAATTCTTTATTCTCACTGACTCAGCATTGGAATCCACTTCCACTCTCTTCCCCTTATCATTGTTCTTCTGTCAGAGGGAAGTTATGCTAGTGGGATGATTGGCAGCCCATATATATAGTTCCTTGCAAAAAGTATTTTCTTTTGCTGAGGCCAGAAACTTTGGAGATACTCTTAGCTAAAATAGTACCCCCAGTCCCTCCCTAACCCCCTGTCCTGCTTTATTTTTCTTCCTGGTACTTACCATTACATTATATATATGTATTTACTTTATATATTCTTTATTTTCTCCACTAGAAGATTTTAAAAATCCCTAAGGGCAGGGATTTTTTTCTGTTCCCTTCACTGAATCCCCAGTGCCTAAAATAGTTCTTGGCATGTAGTAGCTACTCAGTTAAGATATGTCATATGAATGAATCCTTTTATCTTCTCCAGATTCCAACCCTTCTTGATAGCAGTTTCACTCTTAATTGTAATCTTTTCTTTATCTTGAACCTTTTCATCTTGATTCAGTTCTTCCCATTTAATTATGCTCGGTTATTTCTAACTTAGTATTTTTTTTTTAAGATTTTATTTTATTTATTTGACAGAGATCACAAGTAGGCAGAGAGGCAGGCAGAGAGAGAGAGGAGGAAGCAGGCTCCCTGCTGAGCAGAGAGCCCGATGTGGGGCTCGATCCCAGGACTCTGGGATCATGACCTGAGCCAAAGGCAGAGGCTTTAACCCACTGAGCCACACAGGCGCCCCTCTAACTTAGTATTTTTAAAAAAATTTTTAACCTTCTCTTGACTCCACTTTCCCCTTCAGCATTACTAACTCCTCTCCAGTCTGTGGTTTGCCCATATCACCTATCAGAACACTGTTCTCTAGAGTCAGCAGTGACTTCTATGTCACTAGATGCAGTGACACAATTCTCATCCCACTTGGCCCTTTGGCAGAACTGTCCTCCATCATCATGCATTTCTGCTTTTCCTCTTTTCTGACTCTTCTTTTCTATCTGCTTTGGAGATTGACGTTTCTCTTACAATAGTCACATATAAGAATTCTTCAATATCCAGTGCTTGGCCATCAGATTCTCCATCAAGGGAATTTCCTAAGTGCTTAGGGCTTTGATAATCATCTAAACAATAACCTACAAATGTGTATCTTTAGTTAATAATGCTCTTCTGAGTTCCAGATTCATGTACCCAAAATGCCTGCTGAGTTTCTTTCTCTCCTTGGATGTGGCTTTGAAGGTTCTTCAAAACTCAGCATGCCCCAAACTGAGCCCATGAGTAGACTTCATTCAGAAGAGGAGAGAAAACCCTCCCAGACCTAGGTTTCCTCCACAGTGTACCCTATCTTAGTGACTGGCATGCTGATATGAAAGCGAGAAAACTGGGAGGTAACTTAGATATGCCACTCTTTCTCGTTGCCCATTTCCAATCCTATATGAACTCTTGTTATTTTTACCTTCTCAAAGACCCTGGAATCCAATCATTTCTCTTTAGTCCTGCTGTAGGCATGACCATCTTTATAGGCATTACTGTCAAGGCCTCCTAGTCAGTTTCTTAAATTCTGAACCTGCCCTTGTCTGAATCCAGAGCCATTTTTGTGTAACTTTTTTATTTGAAATCATTTCAGATTTACAGAGAAGTTGCAAGAATAGTACAAACAACTCACATTACCCAGGTTAATATTTTATCACATCTACTTTATCACTTTCTCTTGATATGTATGCATGCATACAATTTTTCTGACTCATTTGAAAGATTTACCTTTACTACCTAAATACTTGAGGACCTATTTGCTAAGAAAAAGGAAATTATTTTACATTACCACAGTACAGTAATCAAAATCAGTGAATCAAAATAACTCGCACTGACACTGTGCTAGTATCTAAGCTGTATACCTTTTTCATATTTCCCAAGTTAGACCAGTTCTTATTTCACTATAATGCCTTTTTTTTTTTAAGATTTTTTATTTATGTATTTGACAGACAAAGATTACAAGTAGGCAGAGAGGCAGGCAGAGAGAGAGAGGAGGAAGCAGGCTCTCCACAGAGCAGAGAGCCCCATGTGGGGCTCGATCCCAGGACCCTGAGATCATGACCTGAGCCAAAGGCAGAGGCTTTAACCCACTGAGCCACCCAGGCGCCCCTCACTATAATGCCTTTTATAGCAAAAAAGAATAGCAGTACTGGTCCAGGATCCAGTCCAGGTCACAGATTGCATTTAGTTGTCCTGTCTTTAGTCTCCATTAATCTGGAAGAGTTTCACAGTCTCTTTATGACCTTGTCATTTTTAGGAGTATGGGTTAATTATTTTATATAATGTCTTTCAGTTTGGGTTTGTCTGATGTCTCCTCATGTTTAGGTTGGGGTTATTTTGATAGGAATACCGCACAAATACTCATATATATTATCAGATTGTACATGACGTCCATTTTCTTCAGAAGCAATTTTTAGAAATATAAATCTAATCTTGTCTCTCACCTGTTTAAAACCTTTCAGTGGTTTTCATTGCTCTCGGGATAAATACCAAGTTCATTTTGGCATATTGTGGTTTATGCTTACCCCTGTAGTATCTCACTTTTTATTTCCTTTCAGTTTCAGAGAAATCCTATCTCCTGCTCGGGAGCAGTCACGCAAATTTTTCCTTCAGCCATAAAGGCTCTTTTCCCCCTCCTGCAACCCCCCTTCCCTTAACTTAGACTACTTAGCAAGAGTCTTTATGCCTCCAGTTTCTATATAGGAAGGATCTAGAGATAGCGTCTGGTTGGATGTGGTGAGAGAGGGTAAATAGGCCTCTTCTTTTTTTTTTTTTTTTTTTTTTTTTTCCAAAGATTTTACTCTTTAATTTGACAGAGAGACAGCGAGAGAAGGAACACAAGCAGGGGGAGTGGGAAGGGAAGAAGCAGGCTCTGAGATCATGACCTGAATGGAAGGGAGATATTTAAGGACTGAGCCACCCAGGCACCGTAAATGGGCCTCTTCTTGAAACTTCATTTGAATAACCTTTTATGTAAGATGTCCAGGACAAAGGTTGGTCAGAATGACTTGGAGGAAAGTATGGGCCTTGTAGCTGTCTTTCTCTCTTCCCGCCAAACCCTGCCCTTGACTTAGTTTCCCCTTTAATCTAGAACTGTCCAGATCTCAATCATCATAGACCCAGAGAAGTCTTTTGATGCTGCCTTGACCAGTCCCTCTTTAGGGAACTTTGGACTAGACTGCATCATCATTTTTAACATCTGGTGTTCTTTTTGTGTGATTACTCAGGAGGACAGGTATGTTGTGTTCATGGTCACATCACCAGTACCTACATGCCTGACACATAAAGATTCATTATTGAATGAGTGAAAGTGAACACCTCATTCTCCTGCAGTACTATTATTACCACATGTTGAGGCTATTGCCTCCCTGTTCCCTCTTTATGGAAAACTTCCTCCACCCTCACCTCCTAATTCCTATTCCCAGTTCTCCCACAACACCCCATGCCATCAAAGGTGCCCTTTCTCTATGAACCCATAACATTTCTGCTTACCCTGTCATAGCTTTTATTTTATTCTGTTGTGATTGCTTTTTACCATCTCCCTGTACTAAAGTGCACACTCCTGAAACTCAAGGATTATTTTATGTACTGTCATATCCTTGCATTTTGTATACTTTGTTCAGAGTAAGCTTTTACAAATATTTTTTGAATGAATAAATGTAGTCATGCCTCTTACATTCTTTTCTGATTATAAAAGTAATGCGTTTCAAAGTAAGAAGCTGGAAAAATGAAAAGTTAAAAGAGAAAATGAGTTGTTGCATATCATGTTTGTTCTACCTTCCATTATTTTTCTTAGGCTATAGATTACTTTTAAATGCCTTAGGTTATTTATTTACTTATGGGAATATTTTATCTATTTTTTAAAAAAATAAGTGGAGGGGGGTGCCTGGGTGGCTGAGTGGGTTAAGCCGCTGCCTTCGGCTCAGGTCATGATCTCAGGGTCCTGGGATCGAGTCCTGCATCGGGCTCTCTGCTAAGCAGGGAGCCTGCTTCCCTCTCACTCTCTTTGCCTGCCTCTCTGCCTACTTGTGATCTCTTTCTGTCAAATAAATAAATAAAATTTAAAAAATAAATAAGTGGGAAAGGGGATTTAGTAGTATAGATATAAGTCATGGAGATGAATAGTACTGCATAAGGAATATGGTCATTAATACTGTAATAATGTATGGTGATATCCAGTGACTACAGTTATCGTAGTGAGCATTTAGTAATGTATAGAATTGTTGAATCACTATGTTGTATACCTAAAACTATTGCTGTATGTCAACTGTACTTTAATAGTATAAAATAAATAGCAGATCTTGTATACATGTGTTTTTGACTATAACATTTTTAATGGCACTTTTCCCTAAGAAATTATTGTTAATAAGAGATGGAAAGATGTTTTATCCATAATCATAATTTTTCTAATATATTCACCTCCCAAATTTTATTTTATTTTTTTTATTGTGTTATGTTAGTCACCATATAGTACATCACTAGTTTTTGATGCAGTGTTCCAAGATTCATTGTTTGCATATAACACCCAGTGCTCCATGCAGCACGTGCCCTCCTTGATACCTATCAGCGGGCTCACCCATCCCCTCATTCCCTTCCCCTCTAATACCCTCAGCCTATTTCTCGGAGTCCACTAGGAGATGGAAAGATGAATCATCTATAATCATAATTTTTCTAATATCTTCACCTCCCATTTTTTATTTAAGTAGATTTCTGTGGAGACTTCTGTCTCCTAATTTTAAAAAATTCACATAGTTGAAGGCCCCTGGGTGGTGCCATAAGCTAAGCATCCAACTCTTGGTTTCAGCTCACATCATGATCTCAGAGTCATGAGATCAATCCCCATATCAGCTCCACACTGGGTGTGGAGGCTGCTTAAGATTCTCTCCCTCTCCTTTTGCCCCCTCCAGCCCCCATGTGCACATGCACGCTTGCACACTCACTCTCTTAAAAAAAAAAAAAGTACACAGTCACATTCTGTAATACTAAGAGCAATGTAATAAATCCCTTCTTCCCCTTTGGTAGCTTAAAGTATACAGACTCTATGATGTAGTCATTAACTGAATAGAACTCAGTCGCCAAATATTTTTATCTCTGTTGTTAACATCCCTTTGTCATTGGTGACATGTTTCTGTGGCACTTCATCTGTGGCACTATTGTTACAACATGGTCATTGCTCTTCTTTGAGCAATCAGTCCCATCAACTGGCAGTCTCTCAAATCCAGAATAACTACAGGTGTTTTGTAGAAGGCTTTGATGTTATTTTAAAAAGCGCTTAACAAGAACTAAAACTACAGTATCTGAGGGGCTCCTGGCTGGTTCCGTTGGAGGAGCATGTGACTCTCACCTCAGGGTTGTAAGTTAACAGCCCCACGTTGGCTGTAGAGATTACTTAAAAATAAAATCTTTAAAAACAAAACAAACCTACAGCATCTGAAAATTTTGCTTTTTAAAAACTTATTGTCTGATGAGCAGTGTAGCATTCTAATCATTTGTTGGTAGACAGCTAACTGAATCAGTCATCTGTAATTTGAAGGCTGATTTGTGAGTGTATGATAGGGAACAGACAGAATACATGTCCTGTGATCCAGTTCTCTTTATAAAGGGAAGTGGATATTTACAGCCTTCCTTTAGAGAATTAGTGTGCGTGAAATGAGAACAGTATTCACATTGTTTTGTCATTATACTTTCATTTGAGTGCTTGGTTTTTTTATTTGATCTGACAGTAAATATATTTTTCAACCAGTCTGGAAGTGAAGACATACATGTAACTATGAAATGAGATGGGAATTAAACAGCTGATGATAGAATATTTTTCTGAGAGGCTAGAGCAGAAAGCTCCCAGAGTTTAAAAAACAAGTTTATCGGGGATAACTTATACAAATCAAATTTATTCTGCTACTGGTAGTTTTCATTCCCAAGTATGAAATCCAAAATTCTCACTTTTTGATAAATAAAAAGCAAAATGTAAATAGAGAATAGAGGCAAGAGACCTGTGGGACTTCATTATCCTTAAATTCGTACAACTTTTCTGTAAGTTTGGAGTTATGTCAAACTTAAAAGTTATCCCCCAAATTCCTATTTTTTTCCTAAAATTAGATGAATATGTATTTTATGCAAGTTTTTAACCTTCTTTGAAGATTGGAAAATAGTCATAATATTTATGTGTTTTTTTTAAATTTCATTTATTTATTTGAGAGAGCGAGCGAGCGAGCACAAGCAGGCAGAGTAGCAGGCAGCGAGGGAGAGGAGAAACAGACTCCCCACTAAGCAGGGAGCCCAACATGGGGCTTGGCCTGAGCCCAAGGCAGGCACTTAACCGACTGAGCCACCCAGGCACCCCAATATTTATATTTCTATTTGACTTTCGTACCCTTTCATCTAACTACAAAGTCAAAACTTGATAAAAAACTATTTTGGCAAGAGGATGAGGGACTGTATACTAACTTAATTTCTGATATGGAGTCTTTTAGTCTCACGCCATTACTTTGCCCTTATTTTCACTTTACAAACTAATTTTGGGATGAAGTGCTAACATCCTCTTGCCATCCAGCTTGTACTTCTGATGTGCCTTTCTTCACATAACACCTTGGTCATTAAGTTTTTCTTTTTATCAGCATTTTTTCCCCTAAGTTATTTGCATTTTCAGCCTTTAGCATAATTCTAGTCAACTAATAGCATACACTCAAATCCTGAGATTGCCAGAAATGAATGATTTCTGAATCTGGACTTTTTTAATGTAACGTATATGTGAAATTAGCCTCATCTTCTAGAAATTATTCTACCAACGTATGCTGTCATTTTGTAATACTTAGGAGAACTAGGTTTCTTTTCTGGAATTAGAAACCCAAGCCACAGGTGAGAAGTGACTAATATCTTTTATAAGCAGTTAATCCAGAATGTGGACTTGACTGAAATTCAGGTATTTTTATTTGCCTTGAATTCAGGCTGATAAGCAGCTAAGTATTCTTGTCAAAGCACCTGATCCTGGCTGCGTCTGTGTTCTCGTCCACAATATGATGATCCCATTCAGCCCTCCCCTCAGGCTTGTTGTCAAGCACAAGCAAGGTGCAGTCGGGGCAGTCACTGGGAAACGATAAAATGTTCTAGTGTCTCATCTTTCTTTTTTCTCTTTATTATTCTGCATAGGAGTCTTTTAATTTTCCCAATTTAGTGCTAAACTACTTGTCATTTTAATGTTCCGTTGCTGCATAATTCTTAAGCTTGTTACAACATGGTTATTTTTCATCTTTTCGATTAGTATTTTGGGTGGACATTGCTGCCAGCAATTTCAAACTCTTTTTAACTTTATGGAGATGATACAGTCACCATGAAATCACTGAGGACTATAATCTATTTAGGATAATTTAATCTTTTGTTTTGCAGTCCCAGGCTGTCTAATCTTCCTGGCTGGTCCCTAAAGGATGGAAATGCTTTCTTGGACAAGGTAATACTAACTGAAGCATATCTACACCCAGTGGAAGCCATCTTGTCGTACCAGAGCCACCCAATAGTAATGTAATGGATGGGCTCATTTTTTTTTCCTTTGTATTCTCTGAAAATTCCCAAGATCCATGTAGGGTCTTCAGTACTTGGTGATTATTTTTAAGAGCCTTTTAGGGAATCTCAGTGTTCAGATTCAGGTCCAATTTGCTCGTGTGTAAAAATCTAAGAACTTCTGCTGCAAATACATTTTATCACCACAGAAAGAAAACTATTATTTTTAGAATTGCGATGAGAGTTTCAAAGGTAATGCCTATAGAGACTTCCATCCAGTTCGTTCTATTTTCAGGCTGTTACTGACTCCATGACGGGAAGGAGTAAAACTTTTTTTAAAAAACAACTTTAAAATCCTCAAGAATGTGAGTTTTAAACTGCTTCCGTCAGCAGTTAGGTAAGGTAGGGCTTTGAGAAAAGTTTGGTTCTCACTCTTTGGGTGAAGAGAGGCCATGGAAGGAGGGCAGTGTCATCGTCTGATCAGATCACTCTGGCTGCCATTGGAGAACAGACTGCAAAGCCTGTGTTAACTTTCCAGGCAATGTGTTCTTGGGGGAGTAGGAAGGGAAACATGTTCTTGGGTAAATTTAGGTAGAGGGCCTTCTAAACTATGAGCTATCATCTTCTCGTTCCAACCTTTCCCAGTAGCCTAGAATGGACAGCCTTATATAGGTCATGACAAAAGAGCATAGTTCTAGGAATCTAGGATTTGGGATTTTATTGTGACGAGTCACTGACTAGGCCTACAGTAAATGACTTAAATAACTTTTTTCTTCGAGGCTGTTAAATTTTTTACATTAGATTGTCTTCACAGTAATTCCTTCTTCAGATCAGTTTTTAGGCAGTTAATTTATAAAGAGAGACCAGAGGTATAAAAAATGTTAAAACGATCATCTAGTTGCATTTTCTACTAAAAAGATCAGAGGTAAAAGAAGGTTAAAAACTGTAAAGCTCATCCATGCCGTTCTTAGTCCTCTAAATCATTCTTTTTGTCTCAAATTTCACAATTGAAAGACTGAAGAAATTTAAAGATCCTTAAAAAGAATCATCCATGTAAGGCATTTCCTTCTAACAACAGGTATTGTTAAATAAAGAGTTGCTCTTCTTACAGAATTAATTTCTGTAACCGCACCCCAACCTCCAGTGTAGGGCAAATGCATAATTTGAAGCCAGATTTCCCTCCTAGCTAACTGTAAAATTATGTGACATTCAAGAACCTGTGCACCTGATTTCAGCCTAACTCTCCTGCTGGCTATAAATCATTGTTCGCTGAGAAAGACTCAGAAGCATCCCATTACCGGTGCATTGTGAGCGAAAATGACTTGCATGTGTATGTGGGAGCATTTCATTAGAAGGGAGTGGTGAATAAAATACAGAGACACCGTAAGTGCGTGGAATGGCAAATATGCTTCTCCAGGCCAGGAAGGATGAGCGCCTCAGAGGAGGCTTGTCACGTGAGGTGGACATGCCCTGATGTGTAGCATTATGGGGAAGAAGATTACATAGGCAATTTAAGACCAGGCAGGACTTTGAAATTTCCATGATTTGTCTTTAATCATATTTAGCCTCATCCTGAGGGAGTTGGGAGTCTTTTCCCATTAAACATAATTGCTCTTTTGTTTTTTGCTAGCAGGTACATTGTAATTAAGAACTGTTTTCAGTCCATTTTTGGCTCAGTCTTTCACTGTTTAAATGGTAGTCCTATAAGAAGAGGAATCTGTTTATTATAGTGGAAGGCAAGAGGAGGAAGTCTTCTGTCAGGGTTCTGATATAAGACTTGTAAAATTCAAAAGGAAAATCACACATAGTTAATACCCTAATTTCAGATAAAGATTGAGAGTAGAACCATACAGACTCTAAAATATAAAGACACATATATAGAATATATAGACATACATGTTCATTGATTAATGAAAACATGATGGAACAAAATTCTAACAGTATTTTTCTTTTTCTGTAAAGAGCAAACTGTCAACCAAACACTGACTTTTACTGGTTTCCTTATAACATCTTAGAAAACTTTAACCTTAATGATCCAAAAAAAAAATCCTCCACAGATTTCAGTGTAAAGTATGAGTGAGGGAAGACAACAACTCTAGTGGCCTTTGGGAAGCACTGTAGCAGCCCCTGTTGGCGGCCCTCTCATGCCTGTTCTCTGCATTGCTCTGTCATAATTTCAGATGCCAATACCTGTATGAGTCTGCCAGAGAGATTTTCCCCCTGAAGCCACATGAAATGTAGGAGCTGCCATGTAAATATCCCTTATCACTTGCCTCTGAGAATGGTGACTCCAAGATGTATGTTTTATACCATTTCTTCGAGTTCCCAATGGGAATAAGTCCCAGCTGTGTGCAGTGGTATGTAGCTCAGTAACATACCATTGTCACCCCTCTTCCTTTCCCCTCATCACTTGCCTGTCCTCCAACTCTTTTCTCAGCACTTCCCTGTTAGCTTGTACTCACCCTTTTCTTGAGATCTGTTAGTGAGGGAATCCAAACTAAGGCATATTAAATGTCGTAGGTCATGAGCAGAGTGGGAATTGTAGTATATCTCTTTCTATATTAGTATACTTTTTTCTTTTGAAGGAATACATTTGGTTTACAATCCCAAATAAATTATATGCTCTGCAAGGACAAAGATTATATTCACAGAGGTGATGGTGATCATGGTTGTTTAATCCCTACCCTCTACTCTTAATCTCCCTCCTTGTTTGCCCCTTGCCCCTCAAACCTTGGTAGGAGGAGGAAAAGGCTGTACGTCGTTTGTCTGGGGCCAAGACTCCGAAGGTGATTACATAACAACGTCACTTAGAGGTGCTTGGCCTCATCCCCAGATTTCTGTTCCCTTGGGTCTCAGATGGGACCCAGGAATGTTTATTTCCATCCCAGATTATTCTGGTATTGCTAGTATGAACTGCATAACTGTGCTGGAAACTCATGATGCAGTGCTTTCCAGCACTGCATCATGAGTTAGAAAGCAGCATATGTCCATACATGCCTTAAAGAGGCATGTACATTTAGAGAATGTACATTCAAATTCTGAGTTAGCCACCAACCAGCGTTTTAAGGCACTTAGCCTCCCTGAGCCTAAACAGGAAAACAGTTGATCTGAGTAACCTTCCGGCTGCCCTCCAACTCTCTGGAAGTCCGTGATTCTTCATGGAAAGTTTGATTTGGGAATGAAGTTTCTTTGGTGCTGTGTCTGTTGGATATCTCTTCCTAAAAGTTTTTCCTTTTTGTACCTTTTAGGAGCTAAAAGAATGCTCAGGTCATGTATTTGTGGATTCCGTGCCTGAATTCTGCCTGCCAGAGGTAAGATGAAAGTGATTGTTATTGTAGAAACAAAGCATCTCTCTCAAAATGAAATCGAGAAATAATTTTAAGGGGCTTATTAGCTTTCTGTTTTCAAATTGAAATGAATCTGTTATTCTGGCACAGTATTATGTATCTAAAATATAATCATTTAGGAGCTTTTTATATTATCTGTAAGAAATTTAACTCTCCTTTTTGTATTCCTTGCTCCTTCTACAACCCCACTGACACTTTGTACCAGGGCATAGTTTTGAGCAAGGTACAGAAATAACTCAAGTTTTATAATTATATGCCTGTGCCTTAGATTAGCCGTACTTTTTGTAGTCTTACTTACAGTGGGTAATTGGGAATTGCTGTTATTCAGCCAATACAGTAAACTGTAAAAATGCTTGCTGACTTGAAATATCATATCAAATATTGCTTGAAATTCACAGATTCTGAATTGAGCCATGGATACCTATTGCTTACATATTATTATCACAGTGAGACTTGTTATAAGAGTCTGGGGCCAGTTTTATCATTTTAGAGGAAATGAAGATCAGTTTCCATTCATGTTAAAGGCATTTAATCCCAGCTGACAGTCCTCATCTCTAGACCAGCGTAGATGGCATTCTCAACAGACAGATAACGTCTAGGGAGGCCAGGTTCCTGAGGAAATCCACGAGAGAAGCTACCATCCTGTTTTTTCCATGCACCCAGTGGATTACAGTGCTTGTAGGAGATGCTTTCACAGTTCAATGCCAAAAGAAAATTTGGAGTACTTTTCCCCCTATTTTTGTACTCTCTTCCTGCCTCTCTTTCCATTTCAACACTCTCTGTAGATAAACTTTTTTTCTTCAAAGTATGTTTATGTGCCCTTTTGGGATAGTGGAATGAAAGAGAAGAAAGATACAGTAATTGAAGGTGGCAGTTAAGGGAACAAGTTTGAGATAAAGTCATAAGAGTAAGGGTGAAGGTAAAGCATTACCAAGAGTCCTGAGCTCTTCTAACTGCTATTCAAATCTTTTGTCCCATTCATTTGTCATTTAGGAATTGGTGGGGCAGGTCCCCATCTGTTCAAAGATTCCTAATCCCAAGTGCTACATTTATTTTCAGTTTTCTACATATGGCACTGACTGGTGCAACCTTCAGTTTATGGACAACAGCATAGAATTTATGAATTGTTCTCTAAAGACTTTCTGACGTGCTCCATAGAGCACTAAACAATCAGAAATTGGAATTAAACAATAACCATTTCACAGTTCATCTTTCATTGTGCTAAAGGATTATCAATATATTTAGGCTTCTAGAGCTGTTGCATAAGGTTTTTCAACTTGTATTGTCTTGTAGTTGGTATCAAATTAATAATAGTCACTATTTTAAGGTAGAGGTAGGGTATTTATGACTGGGAGAAAAAATAGTCACAGGATCAGGAGAGAGGTACTTACTCCAGTCCAGTCTTTGCAGCCTTGTAAGTGAGCCAGGCAGACCTACTCCCAGTCTTCACTGAATTTATAATCTAGTGCAACTACCTGAAATATTTTTGTATCCCCCAAAGTCCACACTGTAGACTGAGTATGAGGTCTAGGGCAGTATAGTAAGCAGCCAGTAAATTATGAGCCTTTGACCCAGTTCATGGTCTGTAGAACCCAAGTGTATACAAGTTGAAAATTAAAATAATCCTCATTAGATTTCATCAAGTGAAAGAATGTAAGCAAATAGATAAATGTGGGTATATAAACATGGAATGGATGTTAAATTTATTTCTCAGAGGAAAAATGTTTGTGTAGGCACTCTTGATAGAGATAGATATAGATATAGATATAGATATTCCCCCCCCTTCCAGCTGTCCTCACCAGATTTCTCATGATTCTAGACTCTGTGGACTGATTCTTACATATTATAAAGAAATTTCAAACTCACCCAGTTTCTATACAGAAGAAGGAAAGTGGAGATGCTTTTGAGCTTTCTTGTTGCTTCAGCTGTTGTTCCCTTGTTTTCTTCTGGATCTGTCACCCTGTGATTATGTCTTAATTTTCTTATTTGTCTAAAAATGGTTCTAGAGAGGTCGTAGGGAACAGAACTAGTGGAATGTTACATGACCCTTCATTATGAGGGTACTGTCTTGGAAGTGCCGTGTACCATGGACTTAAGGGTGTAAATTGGCTATTACTGTCATTAGGCATTTTATTCACACAGATTGCCATTGCCCTAGCAATGAGTAGCTTCTGACCTCTGATCTACATGCTGTTCTCAAGACTGATTTTGTCTTGGTGGCTTTATTAAATTAACTTATTTCATATGTGAAGCCATTGAACTAGAAAATACCCACAGCCCAAATGGCACACCATCTCTGTTATTTGCAAAGACGGCACAGATATCTTTGTTACTACCTCTCTGTGGGAGACATATTAGCTCAATAACCCACTCTCCGAGCTAAAACACTTCCGTGGCTTACCCCATGCTGTCCTTAGTGCACCATGCAGTTTCTGAGAGGGAACTTCAGTGATCAAGATGATATCTGTGAGCCAGAGTGACACATTTTCCCACAGAAGGTGCAGTTCAAATGCTGCATCGCTCCAGTGACAGGGCACCAAGCCTTGCTTTGCACTGGCTTCCACAGCTGGGAGGGGACAGAGATGAGTCACACAGGATCCTTAACCTTAGAGACATTTAGTGCTGGAGGGACAGAGCAGTACTTTGAGGAGCTGTTGTGTAGAAAGGAAACTGTTGTAAGAGGGACGTCCATAAAGTGCATTAGCAGTTCCGAGGAAGAGATGTTGGGTTTTTTTGTTTGTTTGTTTTTTTCCTCACCTTGGCAAATCAGGAAGGCTTAATGGAGAAAGAGAATTGAGCCTTAAAAGACAGAAAGGACTTAACTATATGTGAAAACAATCTCTTCTATGCAAAGAGTTTTTATAAAATTTACTAACCATGACTGGCATTTTCCCTTTTCATGGGACCTTAATAAGGGAGTAAAAGGTAAATTTGTAGTGAAGGCTAGGGCAGAATATGAGAGTATAGTTATCTTTTGTAATTCTGCCACAAAATTTTTGTTGTTATTGTTCTGTGTCCAGCACCAGTGGTCAAAAGTTATCTCAAAAAAGGAAAAAAAGTTTCTGCCTTTGACTCGTGAAGAGCTGGTTTCGGCCTGCTTCTCCCTCTGATACCAGTAAATCCATGGTGGTTGTGCCTTATGTTCTCGTTCCCCTCACAGCTTCTGTTGTGCACTCTCTGCTTCATGGTAACTGGTTGCACTTGCCAGGCAGCAGCTGCTAGAGTGTCCTGTTGACGTTTACCCTCGTATGTCAAACTCGGAGCTCTATTTTAGTAAAATCAGAGTGCTGCCAGAGCACTCCTGCCTTCTCGTTAGCCATCCTGCCCTGCTACTTAATGTCAATATTAGGAAATACCCTAAAATGAGAGACCAGAAGTGTTGCAGGAAAGGCGTCATTATTCTGTAGTACAAAAACGACTTCTCTGCATTCTGACAGCATCATTTTTCAGTCACATCTTGCTGATCTGTGTGCCCTGAACAGAAATGTATCATTCCCTCCCCTTCCTTTGCAGACCGAGCTAATAGATCTGTCTACAGTAGATGTGATCCTCATCTCTAACTACCACTGCATGATGGCGCTGCCCTACATCACCGAACACACTGGTTTCACAGGCACGGTGTACGCCACAGAGCCCACCGTTCAGATCGGCAGGTGAGAGCCGTTATTCTTACCCCAGGAGAAAGTGGCTGAAGCACTCCTTCCTTCCCTGGGGACCGTCTAATAGTGTCGTGCCACGAGTGATTGCTGTCTCCTCCTGAGTAGCTAACCCAAAGAATTAGCATGAATAGATGACTCTCTAAATAAAACAAGTGCTCACCGGAATCGCCTTGAGGTTAATGCAGCGAGTACTCTTGGTCTTTTTTGTTGTTGTTGTTTTTGAAACAAAGACGGGAGGAAGGTGTTGGCGGAGACAGCTCCTCTGTGCAGGTGATACTAATTAGGAGAGGTAATGTTGAGTAAGACACCACAGAGTTGCAAGGCGAAGAGCTTCAGGAGAAAGCAGCATAACACATTTAAAAAAAGAAGAAATTTTAATACTTTTCTTTGAGAATTTCCCTCCTTTATGATTTAGCGCAGACTATAAATGGAGACAGCTTGCAGAAAACAGGGTAAGTAATTAGATGGTTGAGTTGACTGCTTTTGACAGAGTGCAACTCAGAACTCTAAGGAGCAAAAGGAGCCTTCCTTTGACTCTGAGAACACTCTGCCATCCGTCCCTCTTCCCCTCCCAAGCCTTCACGACACAGGTGGTTGCTTCAGGTAGCCCTAGCATCATTCAATGAGAGAAAAGTTATGTGAAGAAAATCACCAATACATCTGGGTGGCTTAGTTGGTTATGCAATTGCCTTCAGCTCAGGTCACGATCCCAGGATCCTGGGATTGAGCCCTGCATTGGGCTCCCTGCTCAGTAGGGAGTCCGCTTCCCCCTTTCCTGCTCCCCCTACTTGTGCACTCTTTCTCTCTGTCAAATAAATTAATAAAATCCTTTTAAAAAGAAAATTACCTACCCCAGAAAAAAGCATTGAAGCAAACTAACAAGTATGGTGAAAGGTAAAGATATCAAGACTCAAAAGGGAGGATCAAGGTGTTGATACGGACTCTTAGCTTTGGGTACCAGTGTCTTGCAAAAGTGCAAGAAGGTGAAATTAACCAGAGATGAAACCAAATATGCCTTGGTTTTTGTGTCAGCTCCCATTAAAGAGCATGTAATGTGTACAGAGAAACATCAGGGAATCTGAGGAAGAGACAGTACAAGGAAGTAAAACAGAGACGATAGATCAGTTGCAGGGAAAGGATAAGCTGAAAACATGAGATTCCAGTCTGAAAAAGTTGCAGCATGAGGAAGGACACACCAGACTCCAGAGAGCTACAGCCAGAACAATAATGCGCCTAGATCCCAGATCTTTGAATGCTGGAACTAGGGCTGCTCCTTCAAGATGAAAGGAGGAGATGGGATTAGGAATAAATAAATCTGATGAAAATGAAATGGAAGTTGTTCAATATTCAAATGCTAGTAAATTGATGGCTTTTCATGTCTCTGTGTTCATTGGGAGAGGATTTAAGCTAATATGGATCATCTGTACTGGATTCTGAAAGGGTATTCAAGAGATTAAAAATCTGTTTCTCGCTTTTCGATCATTCTCTAGCCTTGCAGGAGTCTAACTGTCTCTGTGCCATGGCGTCCTCAGAGCACATGTATCATGGATCCTCTCGAGTGAGGCATTTCTTCAGTTCCCTCAGTTGTGATTCCATTGTAATCCACCTTGTGGTCTGCACACACAACCTCTCCCTTTGCAGGTGCTTGAGTTAGCCTTTTAGGAGTAATCCTTAGAGTATTTTTCCACATGGAATTTTGTAAATCCCCAAAATACATGTCAAGAAAACGTACTTTTCCAGTTTAAAATGTCCAATTAATATTGTCATTTAAAAAAAAAATCCTGCCCCACCCTGCTACCACCACAATCAGGTACTTCACAGTCATTTGACTTTTTCCCCTTTTATATTTTTAGTTATATAAAGGCAGAGATCTTAAGAGAGACAGTTAAACCACAGGCTTGTATATTTCAGTGTTCAAAGATAAGATGCATGCGAGGCTTGTTTTAAAGGTGAATTAAATCATTTATGTTCGAAATGTTTAACATGGAAGTTCAATGAGATGGTTGGGGTTTGGTTCAGGTTTATGTAGAAGAGTTTCCAAGTTTATATGCAACAGAGAGAAAGATGATTGGGGTGGAGGGAAGGCATGCCAGCCCATTTGTCTTGACTGCAATATTAAGAGTATAGTGTTTTTCTTCTCCTTTTATGACGTTCACCACTTTTCTCTTTAATTCAGGCTTCTCATGGAAGAGCTGGTGAATTTCATTGAGAGAGTGCCCAAGGCTCAGTCTGCCTCCTTGTGGAAGAACAAGGATATTCAGCGGTGAGCAATAGGCCTGTATGTTCCTCTGGACAGTAGACCCTAGGTTTTGCAAAACAGTCTCATTTATTTTCTTATGTTACGCTTTAACATTTATACTGTTAGAACTAGAGATTCTCTTTTCCTTATTTTAGGGAAGGGCTGTGTTTGATTCAACCAGCACACAGTGGGAGGCAACCATGCCTTGTCCAAGGTACTGTGCTGTGTCTGAGTTTTTAAAAATTAGTAAAACAATTGGCACTGTCTTTGAGGTGCTCAGGGGTTGATGGGAAATCAGATCATTAACAGTTAAATTGCAGTCTTCGGTGGCATATATTGTAAGAGGTGCCTTTCATGGTGCTGTAGACTGTCAGAAAATGAAGAACTTTCTGTGGATGGAAGCTGAGGAGGACATTCCTTAGGAGATGACAATGAAAGTGGGTCTTGGAGGAAGAAGAGGACTCTTCAGGATAGAAAAGATGAGGAAGTGCGTTCAGACACAGCATGATGGGATATAGTGTATTGGGGGACCAGGGAGAAGTACAGCGTAGATTAGAGTGGGAAGGCGGAGAGAAGAGGTGAGAGTTGAAACTAGAGAGGTACATTGGAACAAGATAATGAAGAATCTGATATGTAAAGTTTGAGTTTTATAAGATGGAGAGTGGGGAGTCCCTCTGTGGCTTATAAGGAGAGTGATGTGATCACATATTTGTTTGGGGGAAAGTAACTCTGGAAGCAGCGTGGGGGATGGATGGGGGTGCGGAGACAGGAGCAGAAGACCAGGGGTTGGACTGTCAGAAACCCAGGAAAGAATAAAAACCTGAACCGAGGCAGTAGCAGTGAGCATGAAGAGTCTGACTTAAAGACATTTCTAAGACACAATTGAAATCAATTGGTAAGAACTGTAAAAGAGGCTATAAAGTCAGCCTTAGGAAGATAAGCGGAGAGCTGAGTGGAAGCCAAGGGAGAAAAGAAGTTTTCCCAAACCTGGGCTTGTCAGTGGTATTAGATGCTGCAGAAATATCCTGTAAAATGAAGATGAGACCCTTGGTTAGGAAATCCTAGAGAGATTCATTTTATTTGAGTAGGAAACCAAACCAGATTTTAAGAGGTGACAGAAGTAGAAATACAATGGCGGAGGGAAGGAGGCAACTTGATTCTACTTCCAGGCTCTCATATTTCATTGGACAACAGCCAGTCTTTAGCTTACTGCAGTTTCTCTGAGCCTCCCAGCTGCTGCCCTACCTCCTGGCCCCACAGTGGTCCCAGCCTTCCAGGCCTCACATCCAGGGTCTGGAGTAAAAACTTGTCATTGGCTTTTTAGGTAGTGGGTATCCCATATGTGCCTACCTAGGTCCACTGTTTTCCAGCCACCTTGCCACTGACTTCTCTTTTCCTCTAGGTCAGTAACTTGTTAGCTCTCTAGTTATCTGAACTTTGGAATGTCTTAATTTTTGTGAATGTTGTTTCTAAGAGAATATGTATGTATAGGGGCACCTGGGTGGCTCAACCAATCAAGCTTCCTACTCTTGACTTCGGCTCATGTCATGATCTCAGGGCCCTGCGGGAAGTCTCCCTCTTCTTCTCCCTTGCCCTCCTGTGCTCTCTCTCACTCGCTCTCTCTTACTCTCTAATAAATCTTGTTTTTAAAAAAAGGACATGTATGTGTAGCTAAGAAAATATGCTTTGTTTTTATACTGTAACTGTTTCAGAGTCTGAGCATCTGTGTGTCCTCTGTGCATTCCTTTGTGTATGTGTTATTTGTTTTATTTAACTTAAATAGCACTTGCTGTGTGCCAGACATTATTCTCAGTGTTTTACTTAATTCATGTAATTCTTTAACATCATCCGACAGAAGAGAAAACAGCCACAGACAGGTTAAGTAACTTGCTCAAGGTCAGCCAACTAGTGAGCAGTAGGATTTGAATTCAAATCCAGGCAGGAAGTCTAATCTAGTTCCAGAGTTTGTGCTTTAACCATTATGCTGGGCTGCCTCTTGGGCACACGTGTCTCTTCTCAAGTGCATGTGAGCCCCTTCATGTGAGGGGAAATATGTGTAACTGTGCACGTTTTCTCTTCTGTTTGATGGATCTTCTTTGTATCTCTATTAACTTGATTATGGATATCATGTCTGTATGTCTTCGTGGTAGAAAATGTTTTCTAGACACATACACGTCTGAGTCTTCTGTGTGTATATGAGTGACTTCTTTGATCTAACCACACACCTACTTATGACAAGGTCCCTTCCCCTTCTCATTTTGCATTCTTATTCTCAGCTGCCTTTCCTTCTGCCCATTGCTGTCCCTCCTTCCCCTTTCTTTGTCTCTCCTGTGTACCCGCTGGGCCACATCAGACCTAGTTGTCTACATTTCCCTCCTTAGAAATTTTAGGACTTTGTTTTCTTTCCCTGTGGAACATGTATGCCTTGGCTTCCCTTACTTCCTCCTTTAAAATTTGTACCCTTTATAATATTCTGCCATAAATAATTTTGGCACACCAGAGGTGATGTTCAAAGGTCACTGTTTCCTGGCTCCCGAGCCCTGGGCCAAGTCTTAGGAAGTCCCACGTCCTTAATTTGCCTTTTCTACTGTGACCTTGAGCAGAGTCCTTGGCATTTTTCCTTTGCCTCCCATTCTTTGTGAAATACAGCAAGATAAATGGCTTACCAAAAAATGCCATCATTTATTAGGGAGAACTAGAAGGAGCAGAGGGTGAGGAGGGTGGGGTTCCCTTTTAAAAAAGGATGCTCCTTGAGATAAAACCTGAACTTGCTATCTCGCCACCTGGTGGGCAAAAGTCTGAAACTGTTGAACACTAACTTGGTAGAGAAGCAAGGAGAATAACTTGCACTATTGGAGAAGACTGTATTTCCTTATTTCATATATCATAACCATATTTCTGATTCTGGGCAAGTATTTTGCTTTGGCTTTTGAGCATGAGATGAGCCACAGTTACTGACAGAGAAAGGGAAGAGTCTGATTATTAGAAAGAATATCCTACAGTGTTAGAGAACCAAACCAAGCAAGCTGTGTCCTCTTTTTCCCCTGAATAAACTCACCACAAATATTACAAGTAGTAAGAGGAATTTGAAGAGCTATTTTGTAATTAACATCAGACAAAAGAGTTCTTTTGAAATATTCACCTAGAATTTAACCTTGGGCCAGAATACTAAAAGTGTTTCATTTGAATAACGTTTATGCCAAAGGATTTACATCACTTTATAATTTCTCTCTGTCACGTACCAGTTTCTGTCCAGTGTCCCAAAGTACTGTGGTGAAACTAAATTGAGAAACACTGGTTTTTTGCTGTCCATTACAGTAGATATTTTTCCCAAGCGCTATGAGCTGTGTCTTATTTTTTCATTCCCTCCCCCCCCCCCCCCCCCCCGCTTTTTAATTCCTGTACTCATCTTGTCAAGAGAGGCCTCAGGTAGGGATCACAGACTCTGCTGTCTCCAGGGATGGGGAAGGTAGATACAGGAGTAAGGTGGACCAATGGCCACACCCGTCTAAAGGGGCAGCTGAAACACAGCTTCAGCAGATTATGGCCAGATGGAAACGTGAGCCCATTGCTGCCAAATCCCCCCCCCTTTTTTTTCTTTTCTTAAGTTAAACTCAAAATCTGGATGTTTTAAATGTGAGGTTTTCTTCATCTTTTTAAGATGTTGGCTCACACGTTAAAATAAAATCCTGTATGATCCAAGCAAAACACCTCTGAGTTGGATTGGAGACTCAAGCCCTCGGTTTTTGACTTAAACTTTACACAGGCTGTCTCTTGGTTAAGTGCCTGGAATTGATGCATTTTAGTAGCTTAAGTTATTTAATAAGACTGTGAACTAAAGAAACTAATAAATTAAAATCTTTCAGACTCATTGGTCAAAGGGATCTGACAAACTCTCTTAAATCATTTGAAGTTAGTTTGAGTTAGCTTTTGATTTAGTATTAGTATGTACACCAAAAGAAGCTATTACTCTTGCTTTTGGGCAGCTGTGTGACTCCCTGCCTTGGTTGACACTCCTCCTGAGATTTATTTAGAAGTTAGCCATCTTTCTTCCTCATTTTGATGCTGCAGTTTACTCTTCTTGAAAAAGAGATTTTGAAGGGTAGGAAATGGAGACTCCCTTGCAGTGTAATTTTTGAGTCTCTAACTTTCTCATACCCACACTAGAAGTTTAGGGTTTGCAATAGGAAAATTTAAAGTGGAATATTCCACTTAAGAAACTAAACCAGCTAGAAATCTAGTTATAATTAAGGAGAAATCATTACAGGATATTGTCATAACCCTCTTGCAAGCATTAAGGAATTGTGCACCGATATATTCCTTGCTAAAATGTTATGGCCGTTTTCAGTAGTCACAGCTTAAAATGTGGGTTCATACCTTACCGAAGACATGAAAGAAAACACAGTTGAAGTTCCTCTGCTCTGATGCTCCCTGGGCATTTATAGAGGAATTTATCGGGTCTAACTATATGGTAGGGAAAAAATTAAAGCTATGGGCTTGGAGATCAAATAGACCAGTGTTTAAATTTCATATCTGCTTCTTAGTAGCGGTAGCAGTTTATTTTTTCTAGGCTCTGTTTCCTCATTTATAAAAATTTTATAAAATAAGAATAATATTAGCAACTTTGCAGGGCTGCTGGGAGGACCAGATCAGCATGAGAGTCCTTAAAACAGTGCCAGGCACATAGTAGTTGCTCTGTAAACACCAGCATCCTTTTTCCCTTTAATGATACACTTGGCTGACTAACACCCTTTGAGTAATCAGCACACCTTTGCCTTCCACAGGCTTATTTATCTTGAGACGCCACCTTTCCTGATGAAAGCAAGGTAGTATAAGAAGGAAACTGTTTTTCTAATCCCACTCTTGCCTCCTGTTAGCCCTGTCATCCAGATACTGGGACTCATTCTCCTTTTTTGTAAAACAAGGAAACTGAATTCAAGTATCTCTGAGTTCACTTAGGTTATAGTTTTTAAAGATGTCCAAGGGAGAGAGGCTCCTTCAGCCAGCGTTCATTGAGTGGCAAG